AAATCTGGTTTGCAAAGAACATTTATCTTCTAATGACATGCGAGGCCTGCTTAAGAAAAGTGTTCTCATAAGATGTTAGCAAAACCAGAGCTTTGAATTCACAGGATAATTATAAATGATTTTAATTTCTTCTTTAAAGTAGGCCCAGGAGGTGGTTTGTGAAGTAATATCCTTCAGTAATCATCGGTTTATGTCATTATACACACACACAAGTATATGTAATAAAACATTAAAAAATATTATATAACTTTGCCTTTTCACAAAGATGGCCAATTATTATTGACTCGTTTAGGAGGACTGAGAGCTGGTTAGCTATTTCTTACATGAAAACCCATTCCATATGCTCTTACTTGGCCATCACAACATAAGCAAGATCCTCAGGGGATCCACAGGGTTGGGACAACCAGCTCCAGTTTGTAGGTGAGGGATGTGGAACTCAAAAGGGAAGTAATTTGCCCCAAATCTCACAGCTACTAAAAGGCAGGGCGAAGAATGGAGTCTTGGTTATCCAACTCTAAAGCTAGTGTGTTTACCACTGTGTTATTACAGAAAATGCCATTCCCCTCTGTGCAAGGACAACCACTGTCAGACAGAGTTTCAGGGACAGTGATTCAGGCTGACACAGGACCTCCACAGCCTCCTCTTGGGAGGCACAGGAGACAGTGTTTATATGTGTGATAAAGCATGCTTCTCTCAGTCACTTCCTGGGAAGTCCAGAAAATGCTACACTTCAGATAATTTCCAAAGAGCCCTTTTCTGTTCTCACTTCACCCAGGGAGGGGACTGGGAGGAGAGCCACGGATTTAAGGTAAAGATACACTGAAAGAACAAAATCTTGTATACACTTCTGAAGCACTTCTACATTCACAGCTGATGTAAAGCCACCACCCGTGGGGAAGGAGGCATGACAGAATCATTCCTGTTCGAGGGACAGGATATGGAGGCTCAGGGCTGCCAAGGGAAGCCCCAGCGTTACGGTGCGGCACTGGCAGGGCTCCGGGCTCCCTTCCCTCCTGCCGGTCCCTGCCCAGGGGTCTGAACCACACCTCGGGGGCCAGGGGGCCCTTGACCTTACTGCAGGTATGCCTGGCTTTGATCCCAAGGCCTACGACCACCATTTCTCCCTGGGAATCTGCAGTGATTCTAAAGAAACAAAGCTCAGAAACACCAACTTGTTCTCTTATTTTGCCTATTTACTGACAAAAAAACTCCAAAGGGACAGGAGTTAAATGAACAATTTTAAAAGTGAAAAATCACCAAGCTTCTAAAAAGCAGCATGAGAACAGACATAATCTGCCTCTGAATTGTAGGCATAAATGAGACATTCTTTCCAATCCCTGGTCCTACTGGGACCACCTCCTCAATGACAACCTAAAGTGAAATCTCAACACTGTAGAAGAAATTGGGGCTCCTACCAGGCATCAGTATCCTCCTCGTCCATGTCCATTCCTGACTGTGCAGGGCGCACAGGTCACAAACTTCATACTCACCTGGAGAGAAAGGGTCTGTTGGAAAACCAAAGATTTTTCCAAAGCATCAGTCCTTGAATGCTTTAAAAATGTGCCAACACCAAATCATGGTTGCAGATTAAAATGAGATTAAGCAAACGATAATGGCATGGCATCTGAGGAAAGGAGGTTCCCAGGGGCAGAAACAAATACTTCCATGTGGTTAACAGACTCAAAGACACCCAGCAATTTGCCGATTCTTCATCAGAAGGCAATGGCGTGGTCTTACGTTTCTAAATGGGAGCCTTTCGATTCTGTGCTTTGGGATTACGTTTGTCTTAGTCTGACAGTCTGTCCCTAAGGGGCTATGCAGTCAAAGTCAGCTTCCTGTTAACATTTACATCCTCCTAGTTTGATAATCCCTCTGGTGTTCCCTAAAAGATTGTGACGAAACCAAAGATGAAAATCAGAACTTTTTAAATTTGCTTTAACAAGAAAATGAATACAGATGACCCATTTTGATTTGGGGGCAAAGTTCAGGGGGAGTTGTGGGGCAGGTGGGAGTGTCCGGCTCTCAGCAGTGCCCCCTGCAGACAGCACACCACCTTGCAGAGTCAGCTCACAGCCCTCCGTCTACACCCCACTCCAGCTGTGCCCTCCTGCACCCCTCACAGATGTCCCTCACCACACAAGGCCTCCATCTGCATCCAAGACCTCTCGGCACACCCGGCCTCTGGCCCAGGCCCAGGCACTCAGCAGGAACTAGGGAAATGGCCAAACCGGCCAACATGGCTGGGAGGCTCTGCGCTGCAGTCGGGGTCCTTGCTTTAATTTACACAAAGCCTCCTCAGCATTCCCTACCAAGATGGCCCTGCGGGTGGGCAGAGGCGGTGTGCAGCCCCTAGAGCCAAGGAGCAGCGTACTGACAGTGGAAACCCCGGGGTTCATTGTAAAACTTCCCATGTCACTGGCACTCCCCTTCAGAATGTATCTGGTCTTGGTTTGACACAAAAGTGCTTTACAATTACTTATTATTTTCCCTGAATCCACATCTCTGTAACCTGGCCGTTCCCTGAGGGACATGCCTGTTTGCACCCTCTGGAGTCGGGTAACTGTGGGCACGGCCACAGTTGCAAGAGGTGCCCCTCCTCCCAACCTTTCCTTCTCTCCTTTTTAAGCTGCTCCATCCTGCCTGGCGATGGTGCCCACTCTGCGAAGCTCAGAGATAAGGCATGTCACTGGTACTGTTAAAATTAGTGGTTTCCATGGCCTCCATCCGTTTGGTTGGGTTTAGGACACGGGGGTGCCAAGGAATTCCTAACATAACTGCCCTTAACCTTGTACAGGGCTGTTCCTGGGGCAAAATCACCACGACGCTGTTTCTGCAGGGGCACACCCCTGCCTGCGTTCCCAACCCCCACCTGAAGCCCCAGGGGTCCCTCAGGAGGCTCCCAGGAAGAAGGTGCCTTGGGAGTTTTCACTGAGAGGGCACGAGGCCCGCGGGGCCATTTCTCTGGAGGGGGACACTGTGTGTGGGGTAGCATCACCCTTGACCCGGGGCCAGCCACACTCCTCTCACAGCAGCCGGGCCCCCAGGGCATTTCTGGATCAGGGTTCACATGGCAGTGTGCGCCCACGGGAGGAAATGATCGCCCTCGGTCAAGGAGAGCCCCTGACACGGTCACCCCCGAAACCAGGCAGGCCGGGCCCCAGGGGAGGAAAGGGGAGGAGGCAGAGGGGAGCGCCAGCTCTGCTTGCCGTGCTGCCAAAGGCAGGATTTAGGGAAATGCGGTAAATCTCTCTTTGCTGACTCAACACTGCATGAAGACATCTCCTCCCTGAGATCCGAGTGTGGGCACAAGAAGACAGAGGGAGTGAGGGGCAGGCGACCTCCCTCAGAGAGCCTGTCAGCAGCGCTTCCGGAGAGCCCTGGGCTCAGGGACAGCTGCTCTTCGGGGACTCAGGCATTTCCCGGGTCTCTGGCTGCACCCCACCTTCTTGCAATGGTTCCATCCAGGAGCCACTTCTGAGGACGCCTTGAAGGCCCTGGCTTCCTTCTCTAGGGTGCTGTCCTCTCTGGGGCGTCCGAGGGGTGGCGAGGATGCAGAGCCCCCCATGGGGCCCCGGGATGGCATCTCCAACTACAGGTAGGCAGGGCCCAGAAGCACCGCGAGTCCCCTCCCCAGCTGGCCCCATGGAGCCCTCCTCGTGGAGGGTCAACCCAGAGAGTGAGGGAGTAACAGAAGGGACTTCAGGGATGGTGACAGTGGGCCTCGTACGTGCACGGGGGGAGCCTTACTGTGCCTGAGAGAAAGACTCTGAAGGTTCAGATGAAGGATGACTTTGAGGGAAGATGCTCACAGTGACAGCGGCAGAAAACCAAGCTGATAAATGATGCGAAGGATGCGCGATTTTGAAATCGTTCAGTATTTATGCACTAACAGAGGCTTATTTCTCCCTGACATATAAAAGCTTCAACACCCTGGAAATAAGCATGATACCCTGTGGGTCTCTTAAAAGGGCCAGGTTACATAACAAATGGAATAAAACCACAAAAGACAGAGACCCTTTCCTGGGGGAGTCCGAGGCTGGGAACCTTTCTACTCACTTGTAATCCACTTCTACACATAGGCATACAGGAAACGTCTTTGTTAAATTAATAGTGTTTGGCAAGCGTCAGAAACACAGAATCTCACAGACAGATACAGGCAGAGAGAGTCACAGTTCAGTCCAAAAGCAACACACGGAGGGGACATCAGAGTCCACACACGCATGCAGAGAAGCCGCAGGGAGCAGCTGGGAGACACACAGCGCTGCCCACACGCGGCAGCGGCAGGACGTACGACATGATCCAGCGGCTTACCCACTAAGGACACCAAGAACCAGGTTAAGGACGAAAAATGAGCCAAGGATGATCAGACTAACAAAATACACCCATGGCCATTCCCATCCTATCGCATCATTTACCTGTAAAATGTAAGGAGATCAGTTATCAGTTAATCCATTTACTAAAGAGCGGAGCCCCAGGGGCAGCTGCCTGACCACTCAGCGCTTTGACCGAAGATTCTTGCTCCTAGGACAGGAACCCCCAAGGGCCTAGCATTCTTTTTTTTTTTTTTGCCTTCAAATAAGGACAAGTCCTGTTGCTGAAATCTACAAACGTCACCTGCCAAAAGTCGGATGGGACCAGCTCATCTAGTTATGGTTTTACCGATTAATCTGCATTATGTTTGGTTCCAGACCAATAAAGCAATTATAAATGCATCTCATTTGAGGGGCAGACAAAAGGGCAGGCAAATGGAAACTATTCAAATCCCAAGCAGCAACACTAATTAATTTCTGGTCAATAATGGTTCTATGATTTCCTTTCGTGAAGGCTGGTGAGGCTCCAGGAAGCATCTTGATTTGAGAAGCCTCAGCAGAAAGGAAAGCGCCTCAAAGAACACATAAAGCGCTTGGCACCCGCCGGGCGGTCCCCATCTAACAAAGCCTGTGTGGTCCTGGCAGCTGTCCCTAGAACTCTGCTTTCAAGATGAAAGAGGTGTAGCTTACCCGCTCAATACACCAAGTACAAGATTTAGTACGAAAAATGACCCAAAGATGACGAGACTGACAAAATACACCCAGGGCAATTCAAATCCCATAGCATCATTCATCTGTAAGAAATAAGATGGTCTCATAGGAGTGGGTTAATAAGAGAGTAATAAGGAGAGAGGGTCACATTAGAGACAGCATTCTATACATTTCATTAAACATTTACTTAGATTCAAATCAGAGAGAACAGTAGCCAGTGCACATTCACTATATAGTCCCAACACTCACGCACACATGCACGCGCACACACGCACGCACACACACAGTCATCAAAGCAGACTCTGACGTGGGTGGGGAAGTCAGCTGGGATTGGGCACTTTCTCACAGGGAACTAGCTCCATAAGGGACTTTCGGAAGAGTTCTCGGTGGAAGACAAGACTCCTGCTTAGCTGGAAACTATTTCCTACTCTGCCCACAGCGGTAGGGCTTTTTTTTTTTTTTGCTTTTAAAATTTGTGATGGTGGAAATCAGAATCAATATCTCTGTTTGAGTAACATTTGGCTCTATAAATTCTTTGAAGAGCAAGCCCTAAAATAACAACTTTCCATTGGAAGCCAACCTACCCGAGGAAACCTAACCCGCCTTAAATCTTAGCAAGCACAGCTAAGTCACCGCCCAGGAGAGAAGCGTTCTCCTGCTAGCTGACACATTCAAGGTTGCTTCTGGGAATGAAATTTTTCCCAGCTGCACACACAGAAAGGACCCAGGAGAAGGAAAGAAGCCCTTTACCCCAACACCTAGCTTGGACCTGGTTGACCCACCCTCGGAGAACTGGTTCCCATTATGAGCCGACTGGAACTACAGGGGAAAGATGGCTGGTCCAGAGGACCCCAAGCCCCTACATCTGGGACAAGCTCACGCAGCACAGATGTGGCCTCGTAGGCAGACCCTCCCAGGGGAGGTTTGGTCAGGGGCTGCTTTCGTGCTGGAGCAAACAGGGGCTTTAAGGCTCATGGCTGGATAGAACTTTCCAACAGCACAGGTTAGAGTTAAGTTGGGCAAACACTTCTCCCAGGAAGGGGGTCGAAGGACCAGGCAGGGGGCAGAATGAGTGACCTCAGGCCTGACCCAGAATCTCTGGGCTGAGTCACCACGCTTGCCCGGCAGGTGCAGACCTTAACCTGTGGGCGCATGCCCTCCTTCATGCTACCTGGCTCCAGGTTCCAGCTTTACAGAACGAGACGTATGCATCTCACTCTGTTTGCCTCACACAGAAGCCAAACAGGAAATGAGAACATGAAAAAAAAAAATTACCTAACATCTGTTGCTGAAGTCTAGGGAGAGAGAGGGCATTAAATCCCTTATGAAATACCTGTTTGGCCACACGAAAATTGATGTGCTTAATAGAACTCCTATCGGTCTGCACATCTTACACTGGCAATTAGAGAAATGAATGAGCCGGGGCCATGGCTGCAACTGTTGATCTAATTAAGTTGGATAAACCAATCTGAGCAGGAAGGCAGAGGGTGATCTTCCAAAGCAAGCACACCACTAAACTCATTTAAAAACCCACGTGTGGAGGACAACTGGGCTGCCTGGTGTAGTGGCCGGAGCCCAGCCTGGAGTCAGGCCCTTCTGCAGAGGGCTCTGTGGGCCTGTTTCCCCTCTGTGGAAGCAGCCGTGCACACGGCAGGGATGAGCGTGCTCACGGGTGAGGGGACGAGGCGCCAGGCAGCCAGTCCAGGACTCCCACCGGGAGACCCGACTCTTCTGCAGCCCTAGCACATCAGCCGGCCGAGCCCCCTGCTTCCCGATCTGCGTTCGGGACTCAGCCTCGTCCTCCAGAGGACGGCTCTGGCAACAGCTCTCTGCTCCCCTTGGGAGGAAACAACTTTTTCTTCTAAAGAACCTTATAATTTCCTACTAGTAGATCTTGGACAGATTTCCATTTTCTCATGTCAGAAATGTCACCTGGAATGACGGCTGGGGCCTGGTGGGAAGGCTGGGGCTAAACAAAGGCCACAGGAGACTGAACTCCAGATGGTGGGAAAGAGAAACAAAACCTCAGCTTCAAGGGCCGGTCTCTCTCCCAACCACACCTTCTCAACCCAAGTCTCTCTGCAGAGGCGAGCATTTCTGAACCTTACCATTTACACGGGGCAGGTCAGAACCGCCAAGCTCTGCCCAAAAACACCCATTAGAAAATAGAAACCCTGCCTGGGGTTCTGTCTGCATGGTCTTTACCAA